TCAGAACATAGCATGTTTCTAATTCGTAAGGTTGGTTTCTGTAATAGCCTCACTAGAGGCAAAATTTTACTCAAGATTTTTTGATCTATACTATACCAAGCTGGAACTTTGGAGCTAAAATCCTGGAGCATCTTAAAGCTCTAGGTTTTAAAAATATCTGAATCTGCTTGCACCCTCCAGCTTGCCTAAAGCCACCTCACTCCATATTCTTCCACTCCAAACTCCATTAGACATTTCTTGCCTGACCTCCAAAAGCATTTGAGTTTGCCACCCAAGTTTTGTTTTGTTTTTTTTTTTAAAGTTTCTAAAAGTGGTTTCCACTTTAATTTCTGGAAACCACCCAAGATTTTAATTAAACTCTCTTGTTTTACAGTTAAGGAAAATAGACTGCAAAGAGAGGAAGCAATCTGGTTGGGGAAGCAGCTCTGGAAAATATAACACAAATTCCTTTGCTATTACTTACTGCCCCTTTTAGAAACACACTTTCTATTCTGGGCAAAAAAATCAATATTCATTACCAAAGAGAAATGAAGACTCTGCGATTCCCCTAACGCTTTAAAAGGAGGTTGTTAAGGGATTGCAACAATAATTTCTTGTCTTTTACACGTGTCCATGTAGGTAGAAAATTCATCCAAATGCAACCCCCAATCTGGTTCACCCCAAATCCACTACAGATAGCAGAGAAACTGGAGCCGCCGCTCAGACCAGGAACCTCCTCTCCTAGGTTATGTTTCTACCCGAGCCATCAGAGAAACAGACCGGAAGTGACGCGCAATTGCAGACGGAACCACCTATCCGGCTGTTGCGCTGGCCGGAAGACAAGGGTGCAGCTCTTAAAAGTGTCCCCTCGTAGCTTTTGCTGCCGCAGGGTTGCCGGTGCAGGCTCCTGGGTCCATGTGTGAAGGCTTCCGCGCCGTTGGGCAGGTTGCGAGATGCCGGGCGGAGGCCGCTGCCCCGACTGCGGCTCCACTGAGCTCGTGGAAGACTCGCACTACTCGCAGAGCCAGCTGGTGTGCTCCGACTGCGGCTGCGTAGTCACCGAGGGGGTCCTTACCACCACCTTCAGCGACGAGGGCAACCTCCGAGGTACCTGTGCCCGGCGTTTCCCAGGCCCTGGGACAGCCTGGAGCGGTGGAGGGATTAACATCAGATTCCTCCTGTCTCTCCTACTCCCGTCACGAGCATATTTAAATATGGGAGAAAACGGCCTAAAGTGAGTGAGCGGAAGAAGATAGGGACTGCTATTCCATTCATCAGTGTTTTCCCAGCACCTAGTATGGTATCTGGTATATACAGTGGGCATAATAAATGTTGAATAAATGAGAGAGAGAGAGAGAGAAAAAAGTCCACTCAGCTTGCCTGATCGGGTCATAATGGAAGGATTATGGGTCAATTCTTTAAGATTATAGAGGTAATTTTTAGTACTGATTGGCAAAACAGTCTTTTGGGTTTTTTGAGACAGGGTCTTGTTTTGCTGCTTGGGCTAGAGTGGTGCAGCCTGCCTCACTGCAATCTCAAACTCCTGGGCTCAAGCGATCCTCCTGCCTCAGCCACCCAAGTAGCTGAGACTAGAGGTCACACCACCGCGGCCAGCTAATTTTTCTTTTCTTTTTTCTTTTTGTAGAGAGGGAGTCTCTCGCTTGCTCAGGCTGGTCTGGAACTCCTGACCTCAAAAAATCCTCCCTCCTTGCCTCCCAAAATGATAGCATTATAGGCGTTAGGATTATAGGTATGAGTCACCATGCCTGGCCAGCATCTCTTTTTGTTCTTCGTTTTCCAAGTTTCTGACCAGTGCAGCCCTAAAACCCACAGCCAGGAAAATTGCCTGGATTGCATGTACAGGAGGGGTGACTGAAAATCTGGAGCTTGGAGCTGCTTTAGTGCAGTCTTAACCTTTCTCAATCTCTGTGTATTTGATACTGCTGCGGACATGGAAAACCAGATGGGCCTTTAACTGCATAGATGGGCACCATCTGTGAGACAGGGTGTAGATGCTCACTGATTGGAATTTTGCTCCCTGGCCTTCTGTGGTAGGAGGACAAGGGTCTGATGAATAAAGGCTAAGCACACTATTTGTTGTTCATTATCTTACAGAAGTAACATATTCCCGAAGCACAGGGGAAAATGAACAAGTCAGTCGCAGCGAACAACGAGGTGAGAATCGAACTATTACAACACAGTGGCTTTAAAGAAAATTATCCTGATCCTACAGTACATCTGCTTGCTTTTCCTGTATTCAGCATTACTGGTATAAGGTAGAGAAGAGAATGAGAATTAGAAATAAACAGTGGGGATGGTTCCAAGGGACATAGCAATTCAGTATAAGGTTTATGTTTGCTCAGGGGCATATTTGAGATAGCTTCAAGGAACCTGGATAAAACTTTGGCTAGGCCCTGAATCAAATCAGCCTCCAAAAAAAGGGTGGGCTGAAATGTGACTACTTTCTACAAATGTTTTTGTGCCTTTAGAGTGAGCACACCAACTGTCATTCCTGTCAGTGCAGAAAGGTACATAATTTGTGCATCTGAGGCAAATTTAGGAGAACTAAACTAAGTCCTAGCAGAACTTTCTAGGAGCAGCTCAGTAGCTCCTTTGACCCCTCTAACTCTTGCTGTGGGTTTTCCTAGGTCTCCGCCGAGTAAGAGACCTTTGTCGAGTTCTGCAGTTGCCACCAACATTTGAGGACACAGCAGTTGCTTACTACCAACAGGCATACCGGCACTCTGGCATCCGAGCTGCCAGGCTGCAAAAGAAGGAGGTGTTGGTTGGGTGCTGTGTCTTAATCACCTGCCGGCAGCGTAACTGGCCCCTAACCATGGGAACCATCTGCACGCTGTTGTATGCAGATTTGGATGTGTTTTCTGGCACTTACATGCAGCTAGTGAAGCTCTTGGGGCTGGATGTGCCATCTCTGTGCTTGGCAGAACTGGTGAAGACCTATTGTAGCAGGTACCTGCCTAGTGGGAGACACTGGGACGGGAGGGCTCCTTGGACCTGAATCCTTTGTCCTTTGGATGAGTCTTTTTGACCAAAGCCCTTCTAAAAGGATTTGTGAGAAAGATGTTTTCTGTTTTATGCTTATATTAATATGGTTAATGTCATTTATTATTTCTAGAATGCTAGAGTTTTCAAAATTCTTTGCCCTCATAGCAACCTAATGAGGTGGGGAACGTAGATATTAGCCTTGGCACAGGCTGTTGTACCAGTCATGTCATATGCTCTGGGAATGGCAGTTCCTGGAGTTGTGTCTCGGGTGGCCTATGTAGCCGTATGTCCCGGCCCTGCCTCATCTCTGAAGGAGCTGAAAGGGTATTAGTTAATGACAGAACTGGGGTTAGAAGCTAAGCCTTTTTTTTTTTTAATGTTCTTTTGTTTTTTCTGACAAATGTAGTAGAAAGGAAATAGTCTTGCATTGGAAGCTTGGTTACTTCCTAGCTGGGTGACTGTAGGCAAAATTTTCAACCCTAAGTGCACATAAAAGGGTGCATTTGCATGTAGATTAAATGAGGACAGAGTAAAGTGCTCGGAATAATGGCTGATAGGGAGGTGCTCAACACATGAGCACTCTTCTGCGTTCTCCTGCCCTTCATCTAACAAGCAGAAGACTCGCCCTCTTTTCTTTCAGTGCCTCTATGAACTTGCCCAGTGAGCCTGGGTGTTCCCAAGGGGACAGAATAGCTTCCCCATCTCGAGTGGACTGCCCTTCCTCACTCTGGAAGAGCAGTCCCCCGTAGTCATTGAGACTCAACCCTCGTTTTGGTTTTTCAGCTTCAAACTGTTCCAAGCTTCCCCATCTGTGCCAGCCAAATACGTGGAGGACAAAGAGAAGATGCTGTCGCGAACGTTGCAGTTGGTGGAGCTGGCGGACGAGACGTGGCTGGTGACCGGGCGGCATCCCTTGCCTGTCATCACTGCTGCCACTTTCCTGGCGTGGCAGTCCCTGCAGCCTTCGTATCGGCTGTCGTGCTCCCTTGCCCGGTTTTGTAAATACGCGAATGTGGACCTGCCCCACCCCGCTTCCTGCCGCCTGCAGGAGCTTCTGGCGGTGCTGCTGCAGATGGCCAAGCAGCTGGCTTGGCTGCAGGTTCTGAAGCTTGACAAGCGGTCCGTGGTGAAACACATCGGCGACCTTCTCCAGCACCGCCACACACTGGTCCGCTCGGCCTTCCGGGATGGCACAGCAGAAATGGAGACCCAGGAGAAGGAGCTGCAGGGGCGGGGGCAGGGAGAAGAGGTGGGGGATAGTTCCCTAGGTTTGCCCCAGGGGAAGCAACCGGCCAGTCCTGCCCTTCTCCTCCCACCCTGCATGTTGAAGCCCCCGAAGCGGATCTGTCACACATCTACTGTCTCCACTGTGACCGGGGACGAGAACATTTCTGATAGTGAGATTGAGCAGTATCTGCGTACCCCTCAGGAAGTCAGGGACTTCCAGAGAGCCCAAGCTGCGGGACAGGCTGGCACCAGTGTCCCTAACCCTCCCTGACGCACATCTGTTGGGAGTGCTTCACCTCGTTCTGATAGCAGCTTGGTAACAGGCTGTCACATCCAAGGAAATAGGTGTACACAGTCCTCAGGTACTGTCTTTGTTTGAAGGAACCAAGAGGGGCTCTGCAAATAGTGCGGCCCTACGTCCTGGAGTAAAGTCAGGAGTGCAGGGATGACTGGGTTGGAGAGAGTCCCATCCCTTGGTGCTTGGGAACAAGTTGCGTATGTTCGTTTTCTGTGGGATGACTTTCCTCTTAGGCCACCGGGAAAATGTCAGGCTCTCCTGCTCCTAGTCTGATTTGGACGTCCTGCTGCTGCTTCTCAGGGCCCAATGGGCTTTCCTCTGCTTGTGGAGCAGTTGGCATTCCCAGCAGTGTCAGCCTGCAGGGGAGCAGGAACTGGAGAATTCTTGGCCCTGTGTCCATTTGTGGGTGTTGGTGGGTTGTGTGTACAGTGTCACGAGATCCTCCACCTTGTAACAAAAGGACTGTGGGTGCACTAAGGCTGTAGCTCAGAGGGCTTTGCAAAATTTTAATATATTAAAACAAGAGGCATCTGCTAGAAAACATTCTATTGTATAAAACCCAAGCTCTTAAAAACATGTTTTCTTTGGCACTTTTCATTCCCTCCCTCCCCGTTCCCCAGCGTATTGCAAAAAGCTCTCCAGTGCTAAGGCATCGGCAGGGTATGTAAACAGCAGCCAGCGTATGTGGAAGAATAATACAAAGCTTTTTTTTTTTGTTTTCTTCTAATATTGTCTGTGCAGCAAGCATAAATAACAGGACTCGTCCCAAGAAGTATGGGTTTTCTCCCTCCCCTGTGTCTTCTTTCACCTTGGTGAGCAGGCCAGGGTGACATGAAGACTGGGAGGGGACCCGGGCCAGACCTGGGGTTCCCTCCACTTCCATGCGGTCCTGTAGTAAAAGGCTGGTGGTGGTTTTTTAGGTTGGGGGAAATATGGGTGCTGGTGTTTAATAGTAGTGAGAGCACAGGCCTCTGGTGACCTGCAGGGACCCTAGCCACTGCCTCGGGGCTTGGCTGGGCTTCTGTGAGTCAGGAAGCTTGTTTGACATTGTGGAACTTCCTCCCTACTGTGGAGCTCTATAGAGATCACAATATCGGGATGGTTCTTGCATATGGCCTCACGGAGGCAAGGAATTGCTAATTCCTTAGTCCCTAGTGACGGGAGGCTGAGGTCCAGGAGATGGATCTTGTAACCAAACACTAAGTGCTTCTCCAAACACCACCTGCAGCCTTACGGTGGAGCTCTTCAGAGGTCCCTTGTAGGACTAGGTTTAGGGCATGACTAGATTCTGCCCTCCTCCGAGTATCAGCTCCTCCTGCTTCCCTCAGATCACCCTCAGACACCTGGCAGAGTCTGCTTCTTCGGTATAGGGCCTAGACTTGGTCCTGATGTGCCACCTCTGAGCCCTGCTGCATGGTGTGAGTGCCACTCCTGTGGGAATGGTGGCATTATCCCCAGTTGTATGCCCTACCCCCACCCAGAACTAGTTGATGGCAAAGCTGCCCCACCTTCCCCTGTTGCATAGTTGGTCAGAAAAGTAGCACCTGTTGCCTCCCATTGTCCTAGTCACCTGGCTCGATTGCTAGGCTGCGCTCACGTCAGCCAAGCCAGGGAGGAGAGAGGACTTAGGGTCTGGGCACGACCGGGCTGACTTCAGCAGAGGACAGCGCGCGGTTCCCACGCTCCCGCTGTGCTTCCCTGGCTCTGCTGACGTCCGCCAGCAAGGCAGCGTGGCCCCGGTGGGAGTACGTGGGGAGGGCCCACCTGGGCCGTGCCGCGCCCTTTCACTGGTCGTGGGTCACCCCACAGATGACTCCCCCCTGCCTGGAAGGGCACCGATAACTGGGCTGTCAAACTGGCCGGGGCCGGACGGAACCGTATCTTGTCTGTTTCTGGGATTGTCTGTCGCTGCCCAGAGCGTGGCCCTCTAGGCAGATGGCGACCCTGCGCCTATCTCCCTGCCCTGGCCTCCGGGGTAGTGCTAGCCAGCCCAGGTGCAGCCATGGGCGCCTCCACCGCACACCTGTTGGCGTACCGAGCGACGTCTTCGAGGGCCCCGAGGGGCTGGGGGTAACGGGCCGCGCGGCCAGCCTGTCCTAACGCGTCGCCCGCCCGGCCCTAGACTGTGGTCTCGCTCTTCCAGAGGCCGGTCTTCATGCAGCCGCCGCCCGCCGCCTCCGCGCCGCTCGCGGTGACGTCGTCGTACCTGCCGCCCTTGGGCGCGCCGTTGAGGCTGGCGGCGTTGAGCGGGTACGAGCGGCGCTTGCTCTCCTTCTCCAGCGCGCCGGCCCCGCCGCGGAGGTTGTCGCGGCTGGCGCTGCGGTGCTGGCCGGTGCGGCCCGCCTCGGGGGCCGGCGCGGCGCTGGTGTCGCTGCCCTCGGACGGCGTGAGCGCGGGCTCGCCCTCGGGCGGGGCGCCGGCGCCCGGGCTGTGGCGGCTGCTGCCCGCGCAGCTGTCGGTCGGGCTGTTGCGCAGGCTGCCGCTCTCGCTGGACAGCAGCTCGGGCGCCCCCGCCGCCGCGCCCCCGCGCAGGGCCTTCAGCCGGTTCCTGGCGCCGGGTTCCCCCGCGCGGTGCCCCTTGGCCCGGCTCTTGTGCGCCCGGCGCCCCTGGTGCAGGTTGTTGGAGTGGCGGGCAGCCAGGCTCCCCCGGGGGCCCGCGGCCTCCGGCTCCCCGTCCCCGCGGGCCGCCCCCGCCTCGCACGCCTGGCTCTGCGCCAGCTGCAGGTTGGTGAGCTTGCAGGGGCCGGGGGGCGGCGCGGGGCCGCTGCTGCCGCTCGGGGAGGACTTGAGGGAGGGGGGCCCCTCCGCGAACACCGGGGAGCCGTCCTCGGGGGCGGCGGGCAGGGCCCGCGGTGGGGCGTGCGGGGCCGCGGGCGAGGCGGGCGGGCAGCAGGCGCGCCAGGCGGCCCTCACGTCCCTGCGCCTGGCACAGTGGTGGGTGAAGACGAAGAGGCCCAGGGCGGAGGCCGCCGCCCCGTACAGACAGCTGCACACCACCCGGGGCAGCCAGCGCTGGGACACGGCCAGGGCCCCGCAGGCCCACAGGGCCAGGTACAGGAAATGCGTGGTCACCAGCGCCCCCAGCTGCACTCCCGGAGAGTAGAGGCCGTCACTATCCTCCGGGGGCCCCGGGGTCACCACCCCTGTGCTCCCAGCTGCCAGAAGGGAACCTGAGTCACTCAGGAGGGGGCCGCTGCTCCGGAGCCTGGCGGGACCCCTCAGCTCCTCCCCAGGCTCCAGCGAGGCCCTGCTGTTGCCCCCCTTTGGGCCCTGCGCCAGGGGACCCCGTAAGCGCAGCCCTGCGCACAGGAAATAGATCCAGGTGACGAGCAGAATCAAAGCCACCGGGATGTAGAAGGCTCCTAGGCTTGGGCGCCACACCAGCCAGCAGCTGCAGGAGAGAGGCGGTGCGTGGGGAGGGGCACGTCTGAGGCGGCCCACAGGCGGGGGTGGCCGGGGAGACAGGATAGGGTGTGGAGAAGCAGAGACGGGCTTAGTCCACATGCAGGGGCTTGGGTGGGCTGTGGCTGGTGGACCCTGGCCGGTGTCCCTGCCAGTGGGGTAGAAGGCGCAGGTGCCAGGTGGGTAGGGTTGGGGCAGGAGGGAGCAGCTCACTAGGGGCTGTGGTCCCGGTAGTTGTGGATGTTGACAGCAGCCGTGATGCCACATATAATGAGTGGGATCCCTCCAGCGATCAAATAGAACCTGGAGGGAGTGGGGTTTGGGGTCAGAGAGAGGGGGAAGGGAAGAACCATGTGCTCAGAGCCCTTGACACACTGTCTCTCTCCCATCCTCTTCCCTCTTTAAATTCCGTCGAAGTATTTAGCTAGGGATGCAAATCCTCTACAGGGCAGGCCTTGGTAAATCTCCTGGGAACTTGGCCAAGACTGTTCTAACGGACAGGGCCCAGAATTGCTCTCTCACCGTAAACAATGCAGAAGTCAGAACTCAGGTTCCTGGGATCCCCAGTCAATGCCCTCCAAAGAGTCCCCTCCTTCCCTGGCCTTGGCATGCCCGGAAAGCTGGCAAGATGCACCCACTCCATGGGCTTGTGTAAGCTGGCTGCATCTAAGGCCTTGGCTCTTCTGTCTTGGAGAGCAATCTCCCAGGGTCCTTGAACCCACCCAGGACGCTTCCTGCACCTGCCCGAGTCCCTCTCCCCTTGCAAAGCTAACAGTCGGTAGCATGTACCGGAGCATGGGACGGGGAGCAGGCGGGGCAGGGTCTCCTTCTTGTGGAGGGGGTGCCCTCCAGGTGAGCTCCTTGTGGAGGACTCGGGCCTTCACACCCATCCAGAGCAGCGTGGACAACGAGGAGTAGTGAAGAGTGATGCCCACCTGCGGGACAAGGCACTGAGGCTGGAGGACCTGGGCTGCCACTGCTGGGCCCTCCCAGAGCCTCAGCCCTGCTGGTGTTGTCCCACTCTCCCCGGGTCCCAGCCCCAGCCAACCCCATGGCTCCTGCACTCTGCCCAGCCCACTACCCCGACACGCACCAAGCCTCCATCCCTGCTGCGTCCAACCCAGGCTTCCCTCCCACCCCTGGGGATTCTCCAGGCCCCTGCCATTGCTATCTGGCTGACCCCTACCCACCTTGAAGCCCATCTCCCATCCATCCTCTCTGATCTGGTTCTTACCGCCCCTACTCTCACTCTCCAAGCCACGCCCACCACGGCTGGCGCAGGAGAGCAGTGGCCTGGGGCCTGCTGGTGTGAGGCTCTCCCTGCCCGGTGCCTGGGCTGCCATCCCTACTCTCGGAACAGCCGCCCCCAGCCCCTTCTCCTGCTCACCGCCTGGCAGACCGTCCGGTAATTGGTGAGTGTGATGCCCCCCGCAAAGACGGCAGAGGTCATGGCCATGTGGAAGCACAGGTTCAGCAGCATGTGCCAGCCCTTCCGGGACACATGGATGGAGCTGCCCCAGAAACGGTCTCTCATTAATGGGCCACCCACCCCAAGGTCAGGCCCATGGGGTCTCCAGGCCATCGGGAGAGCCAGAGGGGGGACGCAGCTATCTGTGTGTGTGTGAATGTGACAGGGGCCGCCCGGCAGGAAGAGCCCTAAGCCCCCCAAATGTGTTTTCCCACCCCAGAACCCTCAAATGGGCAGTCGCATGGACCCACCCGAGGAAGGAGCGCTTGCCCACGGGCTTGCCAGCCCATAGTGAGAGCCACTGGCTGCCGCCCACGCCCCTGTCCGCGCGGGGGGCCCACCTGTGGTTGAGGATGTAGGTGATGATGGTGGAGAAGAGGCAGAGCAGCAGCAGGGCCGTGCAGGGGTACACGACAGGGTGCAGCCCCGCCTCCGAGCCCCCCGCCTCCCTGGGGAAGGCACTCAGTTCCTGGGAAAGGGCAGGGGAGGACGTGAGCAGCGCGGACACCTTGCCAGTCCCCACCCTGCCGGCCTCGGCCCTGAGTTTTGGTGCTCAGTGCTTCCAGGCGGGCAGGGACGTGAGCACCAGGACGCCCACTCCGGGAAAGTCAGCCCCAGGGAGCACTGCCTGCCTTTCCCTCCTGCCATCCCGCCTTGCTGGGGACTTTCCACATCCCCAGCCCGAAAAATCAGAGGTGAGGAAGGAGGGAGAAGGTTCTGCCCATGACCCAGCTGCACGCCTGCCCCGTGCGTCTCTGGGAGCGCGGGGTCCGAGATGTAAGGTGGGAGGGGCGCTGGCCAGTGGCCAGTGAGGAGGATGACCGGGAAAGAGGGGGGATGAACCCCAGGTTCTTTTTTCCCCAATTTAAGAATCTGCTCTCAGAAAGTGCAGCATGTGAAGGCCAGGCTGGGTGGTTCCAGAACCATCTATCTGGATGTAGGAGTGGAAGCAACCCCTCCCTGTCTCTGAAAAGAAGGAGAGGCGTGGGAGAGAGCAGAGGGCCATCTCCCCACGAGTCCTGCCACAAGGCTGCTGTGCTCTCTGCACTTCTCTGGGGGCTCAAGGGATCAGAGTGCCCCACCCCACCTGCCACATGTCCCTCATCCCTGCCCTCCCACCCCCGGGCCCCCGACACCCACCATGAGCACAGCCACATTGCCCAAGTGCTGGCAGTGCAGGGAGCTGACGTGGGGCTGGCTGGAGCGGAGCTGGCAGCCCTCAGAGCTCCAGCCCCCAGGGCCGCCAGGCCCCTCCTGGCTCCACCAAGCGGCCATGGGTTCAGCCCCCTCAGCCCAGTGCCGCAGCGAAACGGCCACTGGCTCTGTCAGGTTTCCCACGCCACAGCCACCTGCAGGGGAGAGGGACATCCACAAGATGCACACGGGCCATCAGGGAGGCTGGCTCGGGTGGGACACAGCAGCAGCAGCAGCAGCCAGAGCATGCACTAAACACCTGCCAGGCAGGCACCTGTGGCTTGGGGTGGGGTGGGGTCTAGTTAGAGGCCAAGTGCAGCCTTGGGCTAACTGGGGCCCCTGGACAGGGGTGAGTGAGGAGGGTGAAGAAAAGCACAGGCCCTGGGAGGCGGCCCACTCTGTGTGCTGAATGAGTAGTGACGACTGCTCCAAGGAAGAGAGGACTCCGGCTGGGTGCTCAGGGACGAGGCGCAGAGCGAAGATTGGGAGAGCAAAGCCCGGGTGTAGGGAGGAGTCAGGAGGGGTGGAGGGAGGACAAGGAGGAGGCATTCCCAGGGAGACAGGAGCTCGGGCAGAGCTGCGAGGGTGGCTGTGCCCGGGGCCCGGGCTACCCAGACCCCAAGCAAACCACCCACCCCTCCCCACTCGCTCTCATAAGCACACGCGGCGCTAACACAGACTCCCTTCCCCGGCTGACTCTCCGGGCCCTGCAGGGCTTGGTTCTGGGGTCACCGGGCTGGGCCCTCCCTTGCGCTGCAAAACACCTGTCGCAGCTCGCTGACACCCAGCCGCACTAACGAGGACTCGTCCAGTGCCTGACCTCTGTGCTGAAGTGTGTGCTCCTCCAGGACAAGGACGCGATGTCTGTGTGCAGGTGGGTCCCAGCCCCGACATGGGCTGGCACATACGGGTACTCAGTTCCCGGGCAGAACGCAAGAGTCTACCCCAGGGCAGCGAGGGGGCCCGGCCGGTGGCGGCAACGCCTCTGGCTGCGAGAAGGGGCTGAAGGGGCAGAGCCGCATCTCACAGGCCCTAGACGGCACGTGGGGAGGCGGGCACATGGGGAGGCGGGCGTATTGATGGCAGGAAATGACCTGGGACTCTGGGGGACTCTGACGTGCAGAGTGACAGGTCGAGGAGGTGCATGTGTGGCAGTGTGTGGATGCACTGAAGAGGGCCTGGCATACACGAGTCCAGGGGAGGCTGTGGCAGGTGGGGCACAGCGCCCAGGGGTGGGGCTGGTGTCAGTGTGGCTGTGGGGGCACAGAGGAGTCACAGGGAGGCAGGTGTGGGGGAGCTGGTCTGGAGAGACATGCCGCACACGGTGGGGCCATGAGAGCGGGTGGCTGAGGAGGGGCTGTAGGTGAGACCCAAGCAGCTGACACACGGGTCTCCCACCCGCCACCCCGCTGCTCACGGTATCCCTCTCGCCCCGCCTCCCCCTCCCTGGTGTCTCTGGAGAGATGACCATCATCCCTCAAGGCTCCCCTGTGTCGGTCAGTCCCGCTTCGGGCCAGAGCGTCTTGCCTTTCCGGAACGCTTCTCACCCGAGCTGCCTATTCAGAAGCCTGACCCTCTCCCCGGGTCCCACCCTCCTCCTGCTCAGAGACACGGCGGCCTCTGGGGCAAGGACCACCACACGACGAGCATCCTCCCAAAGCCAGGGACAGTGCTGGGCTTCCGGCCGGCACCCACGCAGCGCTGCTTCCCTTACGGGGCATCTCTGCCCCCAGTCCCCTCGGGAGGTGGGGAGGGACCCACTGTCCTCTGCCAGTTCCGCTCGGGCTCTGGGGGGCCGCCGTGGGCAGGGGAAGGCAGGACAGGGGTGCAGGGCAGGCACGTGGGAGGCACTGGTGGGTCAGCCCCTTACTGGTTCCTGCAAAGATGACCGGGGTGGCCACGCCGCGCCGCTTGCCGGGCCCGGCGCCTGGGCGGGAGGCGTTGCCGTGGCTGCGGAAGAGGCGGCCGTTGCGGAAGACGAGCAGCTGCAGGGTGCAGTCTGGGGGCGCCGGGGGAGCCAGGGCAGCCGGAAGGGCTGAGAACAGACTGGGGGGCAGCTGGATGGAGGCCAGGGCCACGCTGTTCTGGGGGGACACAGGGGCTCCTCAGAGACACTGGGCCCCCGAGGGCTCTGCTGTCTTCCAGCCCCCTCCTCCCCGACCCCCTGCACCTGCCATGCCCCCATCATCACCCCCCCCGGCCCACCTTGATGTGGAAGGATGACAGGGAGACGTTGGGCCTCCCCGTGGTGCAGCGGAAGCGGAGCTGCTGGTCGGCCGGGGCCTCGGGCTCGGCCGCGGGGCCCTGGGCTGGGCTGCCCGGCCGCGTGCCCGGCGCCTCCCTCCTCTGGAAGGCCGTGCAGGTCAGGCCCACGTAGCTGTGCGGCTTGATGAGGTAGGCCTCCAGCGCCACGTTCCTTGCGTTCTGGGGACGGGGATCTTGTCACCCGCCCCGCTCTCGCTGCTGGCGCCTTTGGCCTGGGGCTGCAGGCTCCCTCTCCACAGATCTGCTCGGCGCACCCTCCCCGGGACCCCTCCTTGTGTTCCCAAGAACCCACCAGGCCTGGGGCCTCCCCGGGTCCCTGGCCGCAGGCCTCCTCCTTCCTCCCGGGGCACTGACTCCCGCTGGCCCTCCCTCTCCTGCACTCACCTCTTCACTGTGACCCTGTCACCCCAACCCCGCTGGGGAGCAGGCCCGAGTTGCGCCCCTTTATAACCGTCAGGAGTGCCCAGCACGGGTGTGGCGCCCAGAAGACACTCTTCCGTGGCTGTTACCGGTTAGCGACCCCCTCAGACTGCAGCTGCCACCTCCTCTCAGGGAACACCCACTACTGCCACCAGCCTCCCCTGCCGGCCCCTCTGCCCCTCTGAGCTGTCCCCCTGTGCCTTCCATCAGGCCGGCCCTCCCGCTCGGTTTCTCCAGGTCACGGGCCCCTCCTCCCCGCTGCCACCGCCAACTTAGAAGCGGACACACGCAGGCAGGCGTGTGCCTGGCCAGGACAAGCCTCCCTCCTCAGGATGGCGCGGCCCCCCGGGCCAGCCCCATTACCACAGAGATGTGCTGGGCGTGGGGGCTGAGGGCCGCCCCGCCGATGCGCTCCAGGGCGCCCACGATGCGGCTGCAGGCCTTGTCCTCGCGCTGGGCCAGCCACAGCAGGTGCTCGGCCACCAGCATCAGGTTGCTGGCCATGTCCACCATCACCTCCGCCAGCTGGGGAGGCAGGGAGGTCACCGGGGCAGGAGCGGGCGGGTGGGGGTGGCGCCCAGGGGCCAGCCTGGGAGAGAGGATTCAGCAGATGGGGGCATTTCCAGAGGTGCAGTCACACCTCACCTCTTTGATCTGGTCGACATAACCCAGAAATTTCTGGATCATCTGGGCCACGTAGACGACGTCCATCATGTCCGAAAAGCTGGCGGCCTCGGCAGTGTACACGCGCAGCTGGTGGGCCAGGGTCAGCGCGTTGGAGGCATTGATGGGCATCTGGGTGAAGAAGGGGGGCCATCGTGCCTGTTTCTTCCGCCCCCACCGCCCCTGGGGCCTGTCCCCTGTGCCGGTGCTCAGGGTGACAGTGCCTGGGGAGGGGTCCAGCCCACCTGTAGGGTGTGAGCAAGCTAGGAGGGCATGGGGGCTGGCATCACCACAGCCAAGGCCACCGCTGCCAGCACCCCTGGCCTGAGGACAGTGGGACTCTGGCTTTGTGCGCTGGTGGGCAAGAGGCATGGGGTGGCTGGATGGGAGGAAGGCCTGGTCCCCTTCCCCAGGGTGGCCTTGGTGGGTCTGAGTCCCCTGGAAGAGGAAAGCTAGAGGAGAGCATGGGGGGCAGGTGCCAGCCCCTCACTGTCACACCCGGGGGCCGGAGGCACAGCCGGACAGCCCCCTGCCTGCAGGCTTTGGGCTTCGTCCCCTCCCCACGCCCCGGCGCCAGGGCTGACGGGGCCCCTGCCCCTCTCCTCACCAGCACGAAGGTGTAGAGCACCCGGGTGATGTCGTTGGTGTACAGGCAGTGGGAGTAGTCCCCCGGCTCCCAGCGGCCGGCCCGGTCACAGCGGCGGGAGGCTCGGGTGCCCGGGGCGCCCCCGCTCAGGGGCACCGAGGTGAAGGGATACTGCAGGCAGGACTGGTAGGCTGTGATGCCAGCCAGAGTTCGAGGCCACCTGGGGGCAGAGGCAGAGAAGTTGCAATGACCCAGGCTCCTCAGGACAAGGGCTCCTCCCCTGCCCTCAGGACTGGGACGTCAGACTCCTTGGGGCCGTGGGCAAGGACCCAGGAGGGGGTGCAGGCCACGCTTCTGGAGGTCCCAGTTCCACCTCCCGCCCGTGTTTGTTCTGACAGTGCTGTCACAGCCAGCGGGGGGGGGGGCGGGATTCAGAGTTCTGAGCTCAGGTCCAAGTTCTGCCACTCATCGCCACGGCCGTAAGTCACTTATCCACGTGGGCCTCGGGATGCTCAGCTGTCCAGTGGGCAGAATGACACCTGCCCCTGCCTAACAGAGAGGGCCACTGGGGCATTAAAATGTGCTACTCTTAGCAGCTGAACTTCTGCAAACCGTTAACGTAAGGGAGCAAATAAAAGCCTTCTTGCACTGGGAAGCACGTTCCCACGGCGACTTTACAAAGTTAAGGCCTCTCTAAATGCTGCAGCAGGGCTTCGGGCTGCAAGGCCACAGGAAGAGCCATCTCCGGCTTTAGCACTCAGCCAGGAGAGCGGGTGGCACACCTCGGGCCTCCCGAGGACAAGGGTGAGGCGGGGCGGTTGGGTCAGGCCGAACCTGAAGTCCCCGCGGTTGTTGGCGACGCGCTCGGCGGGGCAGTAGGAGGCGGAGGTTTCCAGCACCACGATCTCCACCTTCTTGCTGGCGTTGCCCTGGGCGGTGGACACGGAGCACTCCCACTCGCCCGAGGCCCACACGCCGATGTGGGACAGGGTCAGCTCGCTGCGGGCGGCAGGCGGGGCGGCCGGTGAGGCACGCGGGGCCCGGCCGGCACCGCCCTCAGCACCGTCCGGGGGCCGCCAGCTGCAGGCCCTGGCTTCCTTCTGCCTGGCCTTACGACGTGCCTCTGAGCCTACGTCCCCCATCTGTGCCCTGGAGATGCTAATGCCTCTGCAGGTCTGCTGCAGAGAGTGAATCTGGTGATATGGCAAAACCGGTCGCGGAGGGCTGGTGGGCAGGGTGATGGGCACAGCGACCCAGGGGGCTGGTGTCGTGTGGCTGTGGGGGCACCGGAGGGTCAAGGGAGGCAGGTGTGCGCGCGCGGGGCGGGCTGGTCTGGAGGAGCATGCGCACACGGTGTGGGCCGATGGAGGAGGTTGGGTGGCTGAGGATGGGGCTGTAGGTTGAGCCAAGCAGTGACCCGGGGGCTCCACCCGCCCACCCCCCGCTTGTCACAGGTACCCCCTCTGCCCGACCCTCCCCTCCCTGGGGTGGGTCTCTGGGAGGAGCTGACCTTATCACCCAAAGGCTCCCTGGTGTCGTCAGTCCCGCTTTCGGGCCCGATGCGTCTTGCCTTTCCGGAACTTCCGGTCCCGAGTGGCCTGTTCAGAAGGCCTGACCCCTCTCCCGGCGGTCCCACCCCCTCCCTCACCTGGTCAGACACGGCGCCTCTGGGGGCACGGCACCACACGATCGGCTCTCAGCAGGGGACGTGCTGGAGCTTCCGGCCCCAGCAGCGCTGCTTCCTTCGGGGCAATCTCTGGCCCCCCCCCAGTCCCCCTCGGGGAGGTGGGGAGGGGACCCTGTCCTTGCGGTTCCCGCCTCGGGCTCTGGGGGGGCAGGCGTGGGGCAGGGGGGAGGCAGGGAACAGGGGTGAGGGCAGGCACGTGGGGAGGCACTGGTGGGGTTCGGGGCCCTTACTGGTTTCTGGCAAGATGGCCCGGGGTGGGGTTGCACGCCGCGGCCGGCTTGCTGGGCCCCGGCGCCTGGGCGGGGAGGCGTATGCGGTGGGTGCGGAAAGGCGGCTGGTTGGGAGACGAGCGCTGCCCCCAGGGTGCAGTTCTGGCAGGCCGGGGCATGGCAGCGGAAGGGCTCGGACGCTGGGGGGAGATGGATGGGAGGCCAGCGGCCACCCTGTTTCTGGGGGGGACAGGGGCTCTCCCAGGAGCCTGGGCCCCGGGGAGGCTCTGCTGGTCTTCAGCCCCTCCCTCCCGACCCCTGACCTGCCCATGCCCCCTCATCACCCCACCCCCCTGGGGGGCCACTCTTTGATTGTGGGGCAAAGGATGACAGGGAGGGCCGTTGGGGGCCTTCCCCCGTGGTGCAGCGGAAGGCGGGAGCTGGTGGTCGGCGGCCTCGGCCTGCGGCGCGCCTGGGGCTGGGGCTGCTCCGGCCGCCGAGTGCGGCGCCTCCATCCTCTGGGGAAGGCCGTGCAGGTCCCAGCCCCACGTGCTGGGCTGCGGCTTTGGATGGGGAGGTTGGGCTCCGCGCAGTTCCTGCGGTTCTTGGGGCGGGGATTTGCACCCGGCCCCCCTTCATCTCGTTGCTGGCGCCTTTGGGCCTGGGGTGAGGTCCTCTCACAGATCACTGCTCGGGGCCCTCCCCGGGCCCCTTCCTTGTGTTCCCACGACCACCGCGGGCTGGGGGCTCCGGGGTCCTGGCGCAGCCTCCCCTTCTCCCGGGGCACTGGGACTCCGCTGGCCTCTCTTGTGATGCCCCCCGCAAAGACGGCAGAGGTCATGGCCATGTGGAAGCACAGGTTCAGCAGCATGTGCCAGCCCTTCCGGGACACATGGATGGAGCTGCCCCAGAAACGGTCTCTCATTAATGGGCCACCCACCCCAAGGTCAGGCCCATGGGGTCTCCAGGCCATCGGGAGAGCCAGAGGGGGGACGCAGCTATCTGTGTGTGTGTGAATGTGACAGGGGCCGCCCGGCAGGAAGAGCCCTAAGCCCCCCAAATGTGTTTTCCCACCCCAGAACCCTCAAATGGGCAGTCGCATGGACCCACCCGAGGAAGGAGCGCTTGCCCACGGGCTTGCCAGCCCATAGTGAGAGCCACTGGCTGCCGCCCACGCCCCTGTCCGCGCGGGGGGCCCACCTGTGGTTGAGGATGTAGGTGATGATGGTGGAGAAGAGGCAGAGCAGCAGCAGGGCCGTGCAGGGGTACACGACAGGGTGCAGCCCCGCCTCCGAGCCCCCCGCCTCCCTGGGGAAGGCACTCAGTTCCTGGGAAAGGGCAGGGGAGGACGTGAGCAGCGCGGACACCTTGCCAGTCCCCACCCTGCCGGCCTCGGCCCTGAGTTTTGGTGCTCAGTGCTTCCAGGCGGGCAGGGACGTGAGCACCAGGACGCCCACTCCGGGAAAGTCAGCCCCAGGGAGCACTGCCTGCCTTTCCCTCCTGCCATCCCGCCTTGCTGGGGACTTTCCACATCCCCAGCCCGAAAAATCAGAGGTGAGGAAGGAGGGAGAAGGTTCTGCCCATGACCCAGCTGCACGCCTGCCCCGTGCGTCTCTGGGAGCGCGGGGTCCGAGATGTAAGGTGGGAGGGGCGCTGGCCAGTGGCCAGTGAGGAGGATGACCGGGAAAGAGGGGGGATGAACCCCAGGTTCTTTTTTCCCCAATTTAAGAATCTGCTCTCAGAAAGTGCAGCATGTGAAGGCCAGGCTGGGTGGTTCCAGAACCATCTATCTGGATGTAGGAGTGGAAGCAACCCCTCCCTGTCTCTGAAAAGAAGGAGAGGCGTGGGAGAGAGCAGAGGGCCATCTCCCCACGAGTCCTGCCACAAGGCTGCTGTGCTCTCTGCACTTCTCTGGGGGCTCAAGGGATCAGAGTGCCCCACCCCACCTGCCACATGTCCCTCATCCCTGCCCTCCCACCCCCGGGCCCCCGACACCCACCATGAGCACAGCCACATTGCCCAAGTGCTGGCAGTGCAGGGAGCTGACGTGGGGCTGGCTGGAGCGGAGCTGGCAGCCCTCAGAGCTCCAGCCCCCAGGGCCGCCAGGCCCCTCCTGGCTCCACCAAGCGGCCATGGGTTCAGCCCCCTCAGCCCAGTGCCGCAGCGAAACGGCCACTGGCTCTGTCAGGTTTCCCACGCCACAGCCACCTGCAGGGGAGAGGGACATCCACAAGATGCACACGGGCCATCAGGGAGGCTGGCTCGGGTGGGACACAGCAGCAGCAGCAGCAGCAGCAGCCAGAGCATGCACTAAACACCTGCCAGGCAGGCACCTGTGGCTTGGGGTGGGGTGGGGTCTAGTTAGAGGCCAAGTGCAGCCTTGGGCTAACTGGGGCCCCTGGACAGGGGTGAGTGAGGAGGGTGAAGAAAAGCACAGGCCCTGGGAGGCGGCCCACTCTGTGTGCTGAATGAGTAGTGACGACTGCTCCAAGGAAGAGAGGACTCCGGCTGGGTGCTCAGGGACGAGGCGCAGAGCGAAGATTGGGAGAGCAAAGCCCGGGTGTAGGGAGGAGTCAGGAGGGGTGGAGGGAGGACAAGGAGGAGGCATTCCCAGGGAGACAGGAGCTCGGGCAGAGCTGCGAGGGTGGCTGTGCCCGGGGCCCGGGCTACCCAGACCCCAAGCAAACCACCCACCCCTCCCCACTCGCTCTCATAAGCACACGCGGCGCTAACACAGACTCCCTTCCCCGGCTGACTCTCCGGGCCCTGCAGGGCTTGGTTCTGGGGTCACCGGGCTGGGCCCTCCCTTGCGCTGCAAAACACCTGTCGCAGCTCGCTGACACCCAGCCGCACTAACGAGGACTCGTCCAGTGCCTGACCTCTGTGCTGAAGTGTGTGCTCTTCCAGGACAAGGACGCGGTGTCTGTGCGCAGGTGGGTCCCAGCCGCGGCACGGGCTGGCACGTACGGGTACTCAGTTCCCGGGCAGAACGCAAGAGTCTACCCCAGGGCAGCAAGGGGGCCCGGCCGGTGGCGGCAACGCCTCTGGCTGCGAGAAGGGGCTGAAGGGGCAGAGCCGCATCTCACAGGCCCTAGACGGCACGTGGGGAGGCAGGCACGTGGGGAGGCGGGCGTATTGATGGCAGGAAATGACCTGGGACTCTGGGGGACTCTGACGTGCAGAGTGACACGTCGAGGAGGTGCATGTGTGGCAGTGTGTGGATGCACTGAAGAGGGCCTGGCATACACGAGTCCAGGGGAGGCTGTGGCAGGTGGGGCACAGCGCCCAGGGGTGGGGCTGGTGTCAGTGTGGCTGTGGGGGCACAGAGGAGTCACAGGGAGGCAGGTGTGGGGGAGCTGGTCTGGAGAGACATGCCGCACACGGTGGGGCCATGAGAGCGGGTGGCTGAGGAGGGGCTGTAGGTGAGACCCAAGCAGCTGACACACGGGTCTCCCACCCGCCACCCCGCTGCTCACGGTATCCCTCTCGCCCCGCCTCCCCCTCCCTGGTGTCTCTGGAGAGATGACCATCATCCCTCAAGGCTCCCCTGCGTCGGTCAGTCCCGCTTCGGGCCAGAGCGTCTTGCCTTTCCGGAACGCTTCTCACCCGAGCTGCCTATTCAGAAGCCTGACCCTCTCCCCGGGTCCCACCCTCCTCCTGCTCAGAGACACGGCGGCCTCTGGGGCAAGGACCACCACACGACGAGCATCCTCCCAAAGCCAGGGACAGTGCTGGGCTTCCGGCCGGCACCCACGCAGCGCTGCTTCCCTTACGGGGCATCTCTGCCCCCAGTCCCCTCGGGAGTTGGGGAGGGACCCACTGTCCTCTGCCAGTTCCGCTCGGGCTCTGGGGGGCCGCCGTGGGCAGGGGAAGGCAGGACAGGGGTGCAGGGCAGGCACGTGGGAGGCACTGGTGGGTCAGCCCCTTACTGGTTCCTGCAAAGATGACCGGGGTGGCCACGCCGCGCCGCTTGCCGGGCCCGGCGCCTGGGCGGGAGGCGTTGCCGTGGCTGCGGAAGAGGCGGCCGTTGCGGAAGACGAGCAGCTGCAGGGTGCAGTCTGGGGGCGCCGGGGGAGCCAGGGCAGCCGGAAGGGCTGAGAACAGACTGGGGGGCAGCTGGATGGAGGCCAGGGCCACGCTGTTCTGGGGGGACACAGGGGCTCCTCAGAGACACTGGGCCCCCGAGGGCTCTGCTGTCTTCCAGCCCCCTCCTCCCCGACCCCCTGCACCTGCCATGCCCCCATCATCACCCCCTGGGGCCCACCTTGATGTGGAAGGATGACAGGGAGACGTTGGGCCTCCCCGTGGTGCAGCGGAAGCGGAGCTGCTGGTCGGCCGGGGCCTCGGGCTCGGCCGCGGGGCCCTGGGCTGGGCTGCCCGGCCGCGTGCCCGGCGCCTCCCTCCTCTGGAAGGCCGTGCAGGTCAGGCCCACGTAGCTGTGCGGCTTGATGAGGTAGGCCTCCAGCGCCACGTTCCTTGCGTTCTGGGGACGGGGATCTTGTCACCCGCCCCGCTCTCGCTGCTGGCGCCTTTGGCCTGGGGCTGCAGGCTCCCTCTCCACAGATCTGCTCGGGGCACCCTCCCCGGGACCCCTCCTTGTGTTCCCAAGAACCCGCCAGGCCTGGGGCCTCCCCGGGTCCCTGGCCGCAGGCCTCCTCCTTCCTCCCGGGGCACTGACTCCCGCTGGCCCTCCCTCTCCTGCACTCACCTCTTCACTGTGACCCTGTCACCCCAACCCCGCTGGGGAGCAGGCCCGAGTTGCGCCCCTTTATAACCGTCAGGAGTGCCCAGCACGGGTGTGGCGCCCAGAAGACACTCTTCCGTGGCTGTTACCGGTTAGCGACCCCCTCAGACTGCAGCTGCCACCTCCTCTCAGGGAACACCCGCTACTGCCACCAGCCTCCCCTGCCGGCCCCTCTGCCCCTCTGAGCTGTCCCCCTGTGCCTTCCATCAGGCCGGCCCTCCCGCTCGGTTTCTCCAGGTCACGGGCCCCTCCTCCCCGCTGCCACCGCCAACTTAGAAGCGGACACACGCAGGCAGGCGTGTGCCTGGCCAGGACAAGCCTCCCTCCTCGGGATGGCGCGGCCCCCCGGGCCAGCCCCATTACCACAGAGATGTGCTGGGCGTGGGGGCTGAGGGCCGCCCCGCCGATGCGCTCCAGGGCGCCCACGATGCGGCTGCAGGCCTTGTCCTCGCGCTGGGCCAGCCACAGCAGGTGCTCGGCCACCAGCATCAGGTTGCTGGCCATGTCCACCATCACCTCCGCCAGCTGGGGAGGCAGGGAGGTCACCGGGGCAGGAGCGGGCGGGTGGGGGTGGCGCCCAGGGGCCAGCCTGGGAGAGAGGATTCAGCAGATGGGGGCATTTCCAGAGGTGCAGTCACACCTCACCTCTTTGATCTGGTCGACATAACCCAGAAATTTCTGGATCATCTGGGCCACGTAGACGACGTCCATCATGTCCGAAAAGCTGGCGGCCTCGGCCGTGTACACGCGCAGCTGGTGGGCCAGGGTCAGCGCGTTGGAGGCATTGATGGGCATCTGGGTGAAGAAGGGGGGCCATCGTGCCTGTTCCTTCCGCCCCCACCGCCCCTGGGGCCTGTCCCCTGTGCCGGTGCTCAGGGTGACAGTGCCTGGGGAGGGGTCCAGCCCACCTGTGGGGTGTGAGCAAGCTAGGAGGGCATGGGGGCTGGCATCACCACAGCCAAGGCTGCCGCTGCCAGCACCCCTGGCCTGAGGACAGTGGGACTCTGGCTTTGTGCGCTGGTGGGCAAGAGGCATGGGGTGGCTGGATGGGAGGAAGGCCTGGTCCCCTTCCCCAGGGTGGCCTTGGTGGGTCTGAGTCCCCTGGAAGAGGAAAGCTAGAGGAGAGCATGGGGGGCAGGTGCCAGCCCCTCACTGTCACACCCGGGGGCCGGAGGCACAGCCGGACAGCCCCCTGCCTGCAGGCTTTGGGCTTCGTCCCCTCCCCACGCCCCGGCGCCAGGGCTGACGGGGCCCCTGCCCCTCTCCTCACCAGCACGAAGGTGTAGAGCACCCGGGTGATGTCGTTGGTGTACAGGCAGTGGGAGTAGTCCCCCGGCTCCCAGCGGCCGGCCCGGTCACAGCGGCGGGAGGCTCGGGTGCCCGGGGCGCCCCCGCTCAGGGGCACCGAGGTGAAGGGATACTGCAGGCAGGACTGGTAGGCTGTGATGCCAGCCAGAGTTCGAGGCCACCTGGGGGCAGAGGCAGAGAAGTTGCAATGACCCAGGCTCCTCAGGACAAGGGCTCCTCCCCTGCCCTCAGGACTGGGACGTCAGACTCCTTGGGGCCGTGGGCAAGGACCCAGGAGGGGGTGCAGGCCACGCTTCTGGAGGTCCCAGTTCCACCTCCCGCCCGTGTTTGTTCTGACAGTGCTGTCACAGCCAGCGGGGGGGGGGGCGGGATTCAGAGTTCTGAGCTCAGGTCCAAGTTCTGCCACTCATCGCCACGGCCGTAAGTCACTTATCCACGTGGGCCTCGGGATGCTCAGCTGTCCAGTGGGCAGAATGACACCTGCCCCTGCCTAACAGAGAGGGCCACTGGGGCATTAAAATGTGCTACTCTTAGCAGCTGAACTTCTGCAAACCGTTAACGTAAGGGAGCAAATAAAAGCCTTCTTGCACTGGGAAGCACGTTCCCACGGCGACTTTACAAAGTTAAGGCCTCTCTAAATGCTGCAGCAGGGCTTCGGGCTGCAAGGCCACAGGAAGAGCCATCTCCGGCTTTAGCACTCAGCCAGGAGAGCGGGTGGCACACCTCGGGGCTCCTGAGGACAAGGGTGAGGCGGGGCGGTTGGGTCACGCCGAACCTGAAGTCCCCGCGGTTGTTGGCGACGCGCTCGGCGGGGCAGTAGGAGGCGGAGGTCTCCAGCACCACGATCTCCACCTTCTTGCTGGCGTTGCCCTGGGCGGTGGACACGGAGCACTCCCACTCGCCCGAGGCCCACACGCCGATGTGGGACAGGGTCAGCTCGCTGCGGGCGGCAGGCGGGGCGGCCGGTGAGGCACGCAGGGCCCAGCCGGCACCGACCTCAGCACCGTCCGGGGGCCGCCAGCTGCAGGCCCTGGCTTCCTTCTGCCTGGCCTTACGACGTGCCTCTGAGCCTACGTCCCCCATCTGTGCCCTGGAGATGCTAATGCCTCTGCAGGTCTGCTGCAGAGAGTGAATCTGGTGATATGAGTGACAGCCACCGTACACGTTGTAAAAGCACTCACGGAAATGACAAAAAATCATTTTTTCCTATCAGGCATTTAATGTATAGCCTCTATCCAGACCATTTACGGCTTAGTCCAGGATTTCCGGACACCACGCGGACACGTTCTTCCATGAACGCGTCTGGGCACGGCGCTCCGGGGGGAAGGGGACAGGTGTGGTGGCTGAGGAGGGCGGCAGGCTGTACCTGGTGATGAAGGTGCAGTCGTGGATGAGGCTCTCGGCCAGGAGCACGCCCGCCTGCTCGTCGCCCTCCACGGGGGCCCGGTTGTGGTACCAGCGGATGCGGGTGTCGTTGCCCAGGTAGCCGGCGGAGCACTGGAAGGGCAGCCGGTCCCCCTGGAACACCACTTGGCGCAGTGACGGGATGAGGTGGTGCGTGTGCAGCTCCAGGGCCCCCTCTGTGGGGGGCACAGCAGCAGTGAGGCCTGAGAGCACACGCGTGGGGGTGTGGGGTGGGCTGGGGCCCCCTGCCTGTCGCCCGCCCCAGCTGGGCAGGAAGAGGGGTCGAGAGACAGTCTCCAGAGACAAGAGCAAAGGACAGGAGCGCGGGTTTTGGACAAGGAAAAGTGCTCCTTTCCAGGCACGGGTTACCCCAGGAGGCGGGGCCGGGTGAAAGCACCAAGGAAGCTTCGGGAAGCGGGAAGCGGACGGAGGGTGGGCGGCAGTGGCACCGAGGGAAGAGGCTGCCCTGGAGACCAGGCCCAGCGTGCAGAGTCGGAGGGTGCGGACGGGCCCGGCGGGGTGCGGGGTGAGGACTGGCTCACCGCAGCGCAGCTGGGCCTCCTGGAGGCCGCCGAGGGCCTGGGCGTGCAGGGCGCCGGGGAAGGCGCAGAGCGTGCGCTCCGACAGCTGCAGGGAGTGGTTCCGGGCCCAGGGCAGCAGCCAGCGCAGGTGGCAGTCGCAGGTCAGGAACTCGGTGCCGAAGTCCCTGTGCGGTGGTAGAGGAGTCACAGGGGCATGGCACTTGGGTGGGGACGGGGCCCCAGGAAGAGGTGCAGGCTGCACTGCTCCCCCCAACCCCGGCGATCACGGCGAGGAACTTGGTGGCGTTCCGGGCACCGTCTGCTGCCCACTCGTGAGGCTGGCCAGGGTGGCCGCGGTGCCGTGTGCCTTCCCCCCGGGCCGCGGAAGCGGGCGTGTGGGGGTCCTCGGGCAGGGGACGGATACTCACACAACCTTCAGGGCTGGCAGCTCATCAAAGACCCCCGGCTGCAGACTGGAGAAGATGTTTCCAGATATGTTTCTGCAGGGGGACAGGGGACAGTGACGCGGGATCTTAGGGCCTCCCTAGGCCAGAGGAGGCAGGGAGGAGAGAATGCGGGGGCCGCTGAGGGTTTGGGGCCGCCTTCCTCCCCCAACCCCCCCTTCCCTCCCTGCTGCTCCCCGCCTGCCATGGCCACCTGGTCACTCACAGTCGGAGCAGCCTGGGGAGGCCTTGGAAGGAGTCAGAGGCGAGACAGCCAATCCGGTTGTTGGAGAGATCTCTGAGAGACACGTGGAACCTCAGCAGGCCGGCTACACGGCAGCACGCGTGTGGGGCTGGGGCTCGTGTGGGCAGCCGGGCTAGAGACGCCGCTGACCCCAGCCGAGGAGGGGAGATAGGGGGGATGGGGGGGGGGGGAGGGTGAGGACAGCCGCCACGTGGGTGGGGCGAGAGGAAGGCAGAGGGGGCTGGGCGGGAGGGGCGTTGCTCACGGGGTCACGGGACTTTCCCTGGGGTAAGGGGAGGCTGGGACATGCCACTCACAAGCGCTTCAGCTCCCCCAGGCCCAGGAAGGCCCCCGGCTGCACCGTGCTGATGACATTGTTCCTCAGGTCCCTGCGGGAGGCAAGTGGGCGGCCTCACACCTGTCCCCTCTGGGTGCCACCTGCCCCCCTGGGGCGGGCTGTGCTCGCTGCTGCCACACAGCAGCTGGGTTTCTCTGGGGCCTGATTTCCTGCTCGATCTCAGCTGTCCTCAGCACGGGTGGGGGCAGGTGGGGTTAAGGACTCCCCCCCCACAGGTCTCCTCGGCCTCCCTGGCCACCGTCACCAGCTTCTGGTCAGGAAAATGGCAGAGGAAGACGAGACCAAGAGATGGGGTCGGAAGGGCCTCAGACGGGGTGGGGGTGGGTAGGAACAAGGTGTGGGGAGAGCACTGAACTGGGAGCCCAGACGCCACGTTCTGACCTCGCCTGGCCTCTGACCCGCCCTGACGGTCCCGTGGGGCTGCCCCGGGAGGCCTTTGGGAGTATGTGGTCAGGCCTTTTGTACGCCGCCATCCTAAGGCAGAAATCTTGAGCTGGCCCGGGGAAGCGCAGTGAGGAAACCAGCCGGCAGCCGGCTCAACACCAGCCAGACCATCAGACAAGGAACCCCAGGGGGCAAAGGCTGGTTCCGGGGCCTCCACCCAGCTCCCAGCGCTGCGACAGGACAGGAGGTGGCTGTGGCCCCCCAGGGCTCCGAGGCGCCAGCCCCACCCAGCCTGGGGGTGAACTGCAGGTGGGTCCTACTGTAGCTGCTGCCCCTCAGTCTGGTGTCTTGAACCCAACCACGCCCGAGTGCAACTCTGCCCCCTTCCTCACCCGGCCCAGGGCCAGTGCTGAAGGGACAGTTCCCACCCACTGGGGACCCGCCAGCTACCTGCCTGGCCCCAGCACAGCACCTGCGGGGTGAGGCCTCTGGGCTCCTGGGGCAGGAAGACCACCGAGGTCCCTGGTGGGCGCTGGCCCAATGGCCTTCATCCTCCCCCTGTCCCGTGCTGGGCACAGCCAGGGAGAGCAGCCCAGAAGGCTGGGGGCCACTCACCCACCTTCTCGGGGGCCACCTGGGTCTTTCTTGAGCCAAACCAGACCAGGCTTGAGGCCCACAGAGCACCACCCCTGCTGGGACCCTGAGCTGGAGGCTGGAGGGGGAGGCCGAAGGGGGAGGCTGTTGCCGTCTGGGCTCCCACACCCTCCCTGGCCCTGTCCAGGACCCAGCAGATTACGGGGCAGGGGGCAGGCGAGGGGGGGTGGGGGTGACCCCTGGGATAACCACATGTCAAGGACCCTGTTGCAGGAAGGCAGAAGACTGGCAGAGGTAGCTGGGGCCAACCTGCTTTCCAAGGCCCTGCTGCCCCAGCCCAGACTGAGGCAGGGGGCTCCTGGCTCTGCCTGCCAAAGCCTCGGGGACACCTCTGACTTCCAGGCAGGAGGGGGTTAACTGAGCCGGCTCCCCACTGGAAGGAGAGGAAACCGGGTGTTCAGGACAGGAGGTGCCTCCCACCAGGGGGCCTGTTTGTGCACAGTCCCTGCTGGGGACAGAAACACCCCGCCCAGCCCTTCTCACGGTCCTCCTACCTCAGCTCCCTCTCGTAGGAAGGACTCAAAGAACGTGAGGCCTCCACCACCCTGAGTCCTCTAGAGAAAGAGGGCAGGCCACCAGAAGGAGCCAGCTTTCCAGAGGAAGGGTGACCTCAGCAGTGAGCAAGCACTGGGACCCTTGGACACCCGCTGCACGCAGAGGGAGGTGGCCCAGGACAAGCACCCAGGCCTGCCCAGGGCTGCCCTTCCTGCCCGGGCCCCCTTTTCTGCTGCCCAGACCCCCGTCCTCATAGCCCGCCCCTCCGATGATGTTGTCCCAGCATGTGCCCCCTGGCCCCTGTCGGGGTCTGGCCATTCTCAGGGCTCTGCCTCCCACCCCCACTCGGGGGACGGGCAGAGGGAAACACATTCCTCATTGTGTCACTTCCCTTCATGGGCTGCCAAGGGGCTTAGGCTGCAGCCCCCCTTCCCTCTGTGCTCCCTGTGTTTATTCTCGTTTCCTCCCCAGGCCCCCTCGAGAGCCCCCGCCCGCCTGCCCACTGATGCTCTGCAGATGGGAGCTGGGCTGCTCGCAGGCAGGCCCGGCCTCCTCGGCTTCCTGCAGCCCAGCAGTGCCGGCCCGGAGAGCAAGGCGCTCCCACCAAGTGTTGGCATTCTCTCCCCTCGGCTCACACCGCCTGGAGAGTGGCCTCAGGGGTGGCCAAGGCAGCCCCCTGGAGTGCCCTCGGGAGCTGGCCAGGCCCGGTCCTCTCCTGGGCCCGTGCCTTGGGCTGGGCGCTGAGGTCCCTGTAGGTGCACAGGCAGCGCAAAGGCCTCCTGGCCCCTCTCCGTGAGGGGAGCAGGTCTGGGGCCGCCCCCTCCCTAGGGGCAGGAGGAAACGCCGCCACAGAACTTGGACATTCCGGGGACCTGCCAGCCTCCTACAGATGGCTGTCCTGAGCCTTTCTCGCTTAGCACATCCTTTCGAAAGTCCGACCAAGGCCGCGGACTCCCGCCCCAGAAAAATGCACTCACTGCACCCAACATCGTGCCTTCTTTTGATTTCACAATTTCACGGGAGTTCTAGAACCCAGGTTCAGAGGCCCTGCTCTGGACTGTCTAATCTGGTCCCTTCGCTTCTTAGGTGAAGCCACGAGGCTAAAGTAGCGTGTCTGAGAATGCACACGTGTTTCTGTCGTGTGCAACACCCATCCCTGTCTGCCCCCACAGAGCCCCGCTCTTGGAACCTGACAAAGACGCTGTGTTGACGGAGCTTCCCCGCTCGCTACCCACTGCCCTACCCGGAGCGGCCTCCCTTGACTCCAGGCCACCCCCTCCCTGTATCCATGTGGATGTTGATGTCGGGGAGAAAGGCCCCCCCACGCCAGCAAGGCAGAAGTGGAGGGAGGATTCCTGGGAGCAAATCACGCCCTGATCCCTTCTTGGGAAAACAGAAGAGCAGGAAGCTAGGCGTATACAGAGGGCGCCCCAGCAAGAAGAGCGATTGAGAAGGGAGTACTTGATGAGTACAAGTCCAGGAAAAGCAAAGGGGCATGGGGTGGGGAAAGAAGACCGGTAAGTTGGACTTAATAAAAATTTAAAACTTTTGCGCTTTAAGGACACTATCAAGAAAGTGAAAGACAACCACAGAATGAGGGTAAATACTTACAAACTCAATATCTGATAAGGGACATCTATCCAGAACATACAAAGAACTTTTACAGCTCAATAATACAAAAAACAAATATAACCCCGCTGAAAAAAATGGGCAAAGGATTTGAACAGATATTTCTTCAAAGAAGATACAGGCCCAGTGCAGTGGCTCACTCCTGTAATCCCAGCACTCTGGGAGGCCTAGGGGGAAGGATCACTTGAGGTCAGGAATTTGAGACCAGCCTGAACAAGACAGCCCATCTCTGCAAAAAATAGAAAACTTAGCCAGGTGTGGGGGTGCACGCCTGTAGTCCCAGCTACAGGGGAAGCTGAGGCAGGAAGATAGCTTGAGCTCAGGAGTTTGAGGTTGCAGTGAGCTATGATAATGCCACTGCAATCTAGCCAGGGTGACAGAGTGAGACTCTGTCTCAAACAACAACAACAACAAAGAAAGAAAGAAAGAAAATATACACATGGCCAATAAGTGCATAAAAAGATGCTCACCATGACTTAGCAATAAGGGAAATGCAAATCAAACCCACAGTGCGATACCACTTTGCACCTCCTACGATAGTGACAATAAAAATGGCAGGCAATAGCAAGCGTTAACGAGGACATGCAGAAATTGGAACCCTAACACAGTATCGCCAGGAATGTAAAATGGTCCAGCCACTTTGGAAAACAGTTGGGCAATGAAAGTTATCGCATAACTCCGTAATTCTATTCCTAGGTATAAATCCAAGACAAATGATCATACATTCACACAAGAACCCGATAAGTGAATGTTCTAGCAGCATTATGCATAATAGCCAAAAAGTAGAAACCGTACCAACATCCACCAACTGACAGAGGGATAAACAAAGTGTGGTATGTTCATCCGATGGAATATTATTCAGCCACAAAAAGGAATGAAGTGCTGATATGAGCTACAACATGGGCCAGCCTTTAAAGCACCTTGCTGAGTGAAGGAAGGCAGTTGTGGAAGATTATATTTGCATGATTCCTTCAATATGAGACGTCCGGAGCAGGCAGATCTACAGACAGAAAGCAGAGCCATGGTTGCTCAGGGCTAGGGAACAGGGAGTGACTGCTAATGATTCCAGGTTTCTTTTGAGGATGATGAAAATGTTCTAAAATTAGATTATGGGGATGATTACACAATTCTGTGAAATATACCAAAACCCCTGGCCTGTGCACTTTCAACGGGGGAGCTTTTATGGTGTATAAATTATATCTCACTAGAGCCGTTAAGAGTGTGTGAGTTTTTATGACTGTGTGTGTGTGCGCGTGTGTGTGCGCGTGTGTGTGAGTGAGCGTGTGCCCACGTTCAGGCAGGGTGGGGAGGCAGAAAGTTGGCTTCCTCTGGCCCCCACGGACCTCCCTGCTTGTGGGTTTGAAAACCAAATTATAGGTTCATAGGCCGCAGAGCTGCTTTCTCTGGGCCCTACAAGACTTCCAGGGTTCGTTAGAAGGTGGGGGCTGGCTGAGAAACAGACCGGAACACCCATGCAGGTAGGGAGGTTGTCTGGGGGAGGAGAGAGAGAGGGTCTGTGGCCCCTAGGAAATTTATATGGTCCCAGCCTCCCTGCCACCTGGTCCCCTAGGGCCCCTCTTATCTCTGATATCAACCAGTAGGTAGGTATTCACTGGGCCTGTGGCCTGGCCAGGAGTTGGGGCTACCACAGCAAACAAGAGGCTGTCCCTGAACCCATCAGCCTCCGCACAGCCCTTCCGGGGCCTCAGCCTCTCTGTGGTGTTCCTCTCCATCCTCCCCATCCATCCTCCCATCCTCCCCTGCGCTGCCGCTGCCAGGCTGGGAGGGAGGGACGGAGCGCCCCCCTCCCTCGCTCTTGGCCCCGCCCACAGATTAATGGGAACCACCTGGCCCGTGAAAGCTCCGCGCCCCACCCCCAGGCCCCCACTTGCCACCATTCCCATGAGCATCTGCTTCTAATGAGCGCCTCGGCACCCCTGCATACCAGCCCCTGGGGCTCATTAATCTCATTAGGCAATGACAAATCATCCTGGGGCCACGGCTCCCCTCCCGGCCCTGTCCTCCACTCCCGGCCCTGTCCTCCAGCGGCGCACAAGCCTCTGGGGGCCGCGTCCACACAGACCCGCGCAGTCGTGCACACACCAGCCACTCCCTCCGTCGCCTGGGGGGGGGGCTGTCTGCCCTCTGGCCAGCTCAGTCCACGGGTGTCTCACTGCAACTGTGACACCCTCAGAGCACCCCAAAAGCCTTCCAGTGGCCTGCCCCCCACTGCATGCGCTTGCTGGGGGACGCAGGACCGAGTCATCCAGTGCTTCAAGCTCTTACATTTCAGCTACCTAACGGCCTGCCCGAGGCTGGGAAACTCTGGACGCATCTACGCGGTGACAGGCGGCCAGGTTACTGTCTGGCAACTTGGCACTCCTCAGAGGGGGAAGGGAACGGCCCTTTGCAGAAAGCCCACGCTGTCTGGGCGCTGTGTGCAGATGGGCTCATCCACCCCATAACAGCTTGTCATCGCCCCATTTTCCAGATGAGTAACCCGAGGCTGGGCGAGGCCCCCGGGAGGTGAATGACAGAGGAGGACTCAATCCTGGGCCTCCTTGGACATCAGCGTGGAGTCCAGGCTCTCCCATCTGCTCCTCCGGGCCCAGGGGTCTTTTCTCTGGGAAACAAACAGGCTCGGCCACGATGCTGAGAGGTGGCAGGCCACGGAGGGGAGGGCACAGAGGCAGGGCCTCACGCACCTCTGGGCCTTTCTGCACACTCCCAGGCGGGCCAGGTCCTTCCTACACAGGTAAAAGAGGCGAATCCCCCATCTCCACCCCCAGCCTCTCTGGACCCGGGTCCTCCTGTAAGAACATCTCAGACACATTCCCACTCGACATCCACGCTGTGTCCCTCCCCTGTCCCCCTGCCTTGCTGACCCAGCCACCCCTGCTTCCCCCGCCGCCCCCCCTGCAGAACAGCACCTCGAGGGCCCCTCCCCCATTTACACACAACCCATTCCCTCGGCACAAGGAGGCCATGTGGCCACTTCCGGGAGCAGCCGGACCTTTCCTTCCAGCCATTAGACTAAGCCCCGACCCACCCAGGGGACTTGCTGTGTGTGGACCACGGGACGTCAAGTAGCCTTGGCCTCGGCTGCCCAAGCCGAGACATCTGAGCCCGACAGGACAGAGAGACCAGTGTTTCCTGAGCACCAACTACGAGCCAGGCCGCGGGGACTCGTTCGTGATGAATAGGCCCTCAGTCTGGGGGTCATCTTGTCCACTGGCTCCTAACCCCGGATGAGCATGAGAATAGCCTGCGCTCCGTGTAAAACATTCCCAGGCCCCGCTGGACCCCACGAGCTGGAGTCCCTGGGAGCGGGGCCCAGGGGCTTGGTGGCGCAGGGGCCCTGTGCCCGCTGTGGGACTGTGCTTGTGACAGTTAGTTTTACGTCAGCTTGGCCAGGCCACAGTCCTGAGAGATTTAGCCAGACCCTGACCTCGGTGTTTCAGTGGGGTGTTTTGCAGATATGGTGACATCTACAGCCAGCAAGGGCGGGTACCTGCCGCGCTGCGGGAGGCCCTCAGCCACGCGGGGAAGGCCGAGAGCAGACACTGAGGCTTCCTGGAGAAGAATTCCCGCCTCAAGACTGCAGCTCCCAGGCCGGGCACAGTGGCTCACGCCTGTGATCCTAGCTCTCTGGGAGGCTGAGGCGGGCGGATCACTCTCGAGGTCAGGGGTTCAAAACCAGCCTGAGCAAGAGCGAGACCTTGTCTCTACTATCAATAGAAAGAAATTAATTGGCCAACTAATATATATAGAAAAAATTAGCCGGGCATGGTGGCGCATGCCTGTAGTCCCAGCTACTCGGGAGGCTGAGGCAGCAGGATTGCTTGAGCCCAGGAGTGTGAGGTTGCTGTGAGCTAGGCCGACGCCACGGCACTCACTCTAGCCTGGGCAACAAAGTGAGACTCTGTCTCAAAAAAGAAAAAACTGCAGCTCCCGCCTGACCTGCCAACCTGCCCTACAGATTTTGGATTTGCCAGCCCCCACAATCGTGTGAGCCAGTTCCTATTGTTTAAAAATGTCTTTATATATATGCTTTTATAAAGTGGTGTTCGGGCGGCCCATCCTGCTGCACACAGCACACCCCCTGCCCAGAGCACCCCTCCTGGGGAAGCCTGGCCCATCTTGGGCTCCTCCGTCTTCCCATGCTTCCCATGCAGCAGCGCTGTGGGCATCCGAGCACACTCATGGGTCACAGAATGTGAGATCCACACTATACCTCCCAAAGTGCTCCGTCCACCCCCCTCTTTCTGCAATGAGGAAACTAAAGCCCCATGCCTGGTGCTCAGGCCGCATCACCCTGACCCATCCCCTAAGACTGCCCTTGGCTCTGTCCTCCTCCTATTTCTTAAATGTACCAGGTGCTCCCTGGATCTAGGGCCCACTCAGAAGCTGCTCCCTTAGTCCCTCCAGGTGGCTCCCACCCTGGCTCTGTCCCCGCTACATAAGACAGCACCCCATCCACTTCCTTCCTGCACCCTCACCCTGCCTTGCTTTCCTTCCCTGCACTGATGTCACCTGGCTCATCACAGGTGTGTTTGCCATTTCCTGGGTCCCTCCATAAGAGGTAAGGGCCTGGAGGATAGGAACCCGGTCCACCGCCGCCGTGCACTCCCTGAGCCTAGCAAGGAGCCGGGCGTGTGCAGGGGGCGGAGCCCTCAGGATGCAGAGTTCCCATGGTGGAGCATGTTCTCGCCGAGCTCCACCCGAGTCTGTCCTGCATCCTGCATTAGTCTCCGATCAACTGCCTGCTGCACTCCCCGGAGGTCTCCCTGTCCGCTGCGCTGGGGAGGGAGCCGTGCAGCAGGTCCGGGTGGGTGGGAAGGAGAAGGCCATCCTCTCATCCTCATCAGAAAACGGACCCCCTGAGACTGAGGGGGGAGGAGGAGGGGCAGAGGATGACGAAGGGAAGATGCCAGCGAGGCCACCAGAGCCTTTGAGCTCCCTCCTGCTAAGAAGGCAGAGCAACTGTGGGAGGCCCCTGGACCTCGAGGGGCAGGGCTGGAGAGGCTGCGGTTTGTCTTCCTCTAGAAGCCCCCGCAAGGAGTGGGGGACCCGGAGCTCCCAAATGCTTAGCTGCCGTCCCTCTTTGTTGGCACCCAACATGTGTAAATGGCAGCATGGTGGCTGCCCTTTCTCCCGGCCAGGACCACTGTGTCTGTGAGCTGCACAGCAGGTGGACGCCAGAGGGACCTGGTCATGGGGCTGCGTGTGGACGTCACCATCACCATCTTGGGCCCCTCCCTACCCCCCCCCCAGCATGTCCCAGACTGCAGACAAGCGTGGGTTTGGCCCCTTCCCACTCCCGCTAACCCAGCCACAGGGCGTGAGAAACTCTCCCTCCCACTGTGAAATGGGTGTGGCAGAGACACCCTCGTGTGAGACTGAGGCCTCGGTGAGAGGCCACACGTGCGTGGAGACGCTGCATCTCTACTGCCCCAACACCTGCTTTGAACCTGACCGAGCCCGACCTACTTAATTCCAGCGCACACGCCACTGTTCCCCGAGGTCTCTTCTGGTGGGTCACCTCTTTGGCACTTTTGGGAGCTGGCATCACACCTTACTCTTTTGTCTTTTGCCCTGATCCCAAGCTTTGGGGCAACGTGGTAGGAGAGGGAGCCCAGGGAACGCCCCGCACCCAGGGCAGCAGAGGGGACTGCGGTGGACAAAGCCAGAATCTGCCTGCAGGAGCGGTGGGGCCAGGCCTGTCTGCGGAGGGGACGGAGGGGACCAAAGGGAGGGGACCTAGAGCTGCGGTACAGGCTGTGGCTTCTGCAACGAGCCGGCCACAGGCAGCTTGGAGAGGGGGGATCAGCCCCGTGGCTAGGCAGCTTCCACAGCTCGCCCGCGTGGCTGGGTCGGGTCTCTGGACGCAGGGCGCACCCCCTCTCCATAAGTCCCCGTGAGGCTCTCGTCGGGGCTCATTTCCCTCACAACTTACACCATACGCGCCCCGGGCTCCTCTCAAGACCTCAGGGGTCCCCAGCCCCAGGGGAGGGAGGAGGTTGGAGCGGGCTGGCAGGGCCCGCAGCCCAAGGCCCGCCCCTCCTCCAGCCCCGCGCGCCCCCGTGGGGCTTTGTTTGTTGATTTGTTTTGGGGGAAGGAGGAAAGAGGCCTTGGTCACCTTAGGCCGCCCTCAGCCCTTTTATGCTGGGCCCCCAGCTGGGAGGGGGCGGCGGCCGAGGGCTCGGCCCTCTCGGCTAATTGCTCATTAAAGAGCAGTAATGAGCTTCCCCTGCCCTGTCGTCGGGCCGGGCCGCCAGGTCCCCCCTCTTCTCTCTGCGGCGCTGGCGAGAGAGCTGGGCTCCCCCTTCCAGCCCGGCCCGCTCGGTCCCCTTCCCAGGGGGCCAGTCCCTGGCGGGTCCCAAAGGTCCAACTACGGGCCCTGCCAGCCCGCAGGTCCTGGGCGCGCCGCAGCGGGTGCCGCCCGCCCGACTCCCCGAGACCCTCGCCATCCCGCCCCGCCCTCCACCGGCCACTTACAGCTTCTCCAGCAGGGACAGGCCCAGGAAGGATCCGTTGCGGAGCACCGTGATCTTGTTGTTGCTCAGGAGCCTGGGGACAGGGGACACAGATGGGAGAAGGTGCTGTTACCCCGGGAAGTGCACGTGGAGTGTGTTGCCTTCCGTGCGCCTGGCGCCCCCTGGAGTTGTGCGAGGCAGCAGCAGCGCAGCCTCTCTCTACTCTGGGACATTGCAGGGCGGAGCCCGCTGAGCCCCAGGGCAGACCCTGAACCGACTCCAGTCTTCCCCTAGCCTGGGTCTGACGTGGGGCTCCGTGCAGGTGGGCTGAGCCGGGCTGGGGCTGTCACGCCCTCTTTCCACTCCCAACCCCCGGGACAGACCCCACCACCCTTGCATGCTCTTCCCAGCTCTGTCCTCGCTCAAGCCTTTGGCTCAGTGTCCTGAGGGCACTGGTGGGAGCAAGGCCCTGGGCAGGGCTGGGCAGGCGGGTGGGAGGGAGCTGCCCTCCTGGGGTCTCCAGCACGCCAGCCCGGGAGCGAGGACCTCAGCAGAAGGTGAGCACCCCCAGCCCGCAAGGGCCCCCAGCTCAAAGGGCCTGAGTGCCCAGCGCTGGCCGTCCCCGTGCCCTTGCCCCCCAAGCCTGTCCGCGGCCTGGGCAAAAAGCTGATGGAGCCCTGGATCTAGGGGAAGCCCAGGCCTCAGCCTCTGCCCCTGCGAGCTCTGTTTATTTGTTCGGCGTGTTTAGGGGAGGAGGAGAGAGGCCCTGGCCGCGGAGACCCAGCGCAGCTCCGCCCACCCACTCAGCCTTTCTCTGCCAAGCGCCCCGCTGGGAGGAGCGAGTTCCAGAGCGGCCAAAGGGCTCATCCCTCCCGTTAATTGCTTTTTAGAAAGCTTTAATGAGCCTCTCGGCCCACACTCCGGCCTGCCCTGGGCTGAGGCAAAGGGCTTCTCTTCTACTTGCTGCCGCTGCGGGCAGAGAACTGACCCAGGAAAGCCAGTGGTCCGGCCCCGGGCACGGGAGGAGCTGGCAGAGAGGTCTGCGCGGAGTGGGTGGGGGAGCACACCACGAGGGGCAGTGAGAGCCCCCCATGTCCCAGGGCACCCCAGGTGCTGAGGCTCCTGGGGAACAGGCAGTGGCCAGGAAGGGAAGGGGTGGAGACCTCAGTCTCCCTCCTCCCCTGTCCCCACTCCAGGCAGACCCCCCACCTGCCCAGTCCCTGCCTAGTGGGCCCTCCAATGGTGACGGTGACGGTTCCCAGTGGGGCATGGAGGGTGCTGGGGGAAGAGGATGGTGGATGGGTATCCAGAATGCTTCACACACACACACATAACATTATCTTGATATTTCAAAAAGTACCTCACAGTAGTCATTACATGAAAATTGAGGCTGGGCTTGGTGGCTCACGCCTATAATTCTAGCACTTTGTGAGGCCTAGAAGGGAGGATTGCTTGAGGCCAGGAGTTTGAGACCAGCTTGGGCAACATAGCAAGACCCTGTCTCTAAAAAAAAAAAATGTTTAAAAAATTAGCTGGGCATGGTAGTGCATGCCTGTAGTCTCAACTACTCAGGAGGAGGCTGCTGAGGCAGGAGGATCACTTGAGCACAGGAGTTGGAGGCTGCAGTGAGCTATGATGATGCCACTGCACTCTAGCCTGGGCAAGAGAACAAGACTCCTGTCTCTTACCCCCCCCAAAAAAAAAAGTTATTGAAAAAAAAAAGAAAAATTAGGGCTTTTATGAACTCCTACTGTCATTTGATGGATTAGAATAGTTTCATTTCAGGTCACACACAAGGATGGTGGTAGTAACTCATAGTCTCGTCAGTTCTTAGGGCCTCTAAAGAGAGGGCTCACGAGGCCCTCTTCTCGGTGATGAGCTCTTGGTGGGCTAACGACCTGACTTTTAAATCAAAGCCCACCTCACCACACCCCTGGTTCATGCCCTCCCTACATCCCAGAGTTTGCATTAAATGTCAGAGAAGGGAGGAAGTCTAGAGGAGCCCTCAGACTCCTTGGGAATGTCAGGGAGGGGTCCCGAAAGGCTAGGTGGAGAAGGGACATCATTCCCGCCTCCCCCCACCCAAGGGCCTCTCCAGCAGTTGTCCCTCCCTGGGTGGGGGGGGGTGAGGGAGGAGGACAGAACTCGGCTGGGGGTGAAGGACAGAGGAACAGGACTCCCCGGATGACCACAGCCCCCTCCACAGGGGCAGGAGCTCCAGAACATTCTCTCTCAAGCTTGAGCAGTGCATGGATCTATTACAGAGAAAGGGGAACAGTATCTTAGTTCCTGGAACTAGGTTTGAGGATTCCAGTTTGAGAAACACTGACTTTAAAAATCTCACACTATGAAAATGCCTTTTCATTGAAAATTGTCTCAAAATTAGCTGCAAAAGATTTTTTTAGGGAAGTTTTCTTTAAAAAGATCATTGAATTGAAAATAAAGTATTAAAAAAATTCTTTCTCTGATCTTCAATGCTGATAAAAAAAAAAAAAAAATTCTCCAATCCCTAAGATTAAACCCTGAGATCCCAGCTGGTCCAACAGAGGTGGTATTGAGGGGTTCTCCACATTTTCCAAACTCTTCAGCCCTTATTTAACCCTTTAACCCCTTCCAAATACCCCACATTCTTTAACTTCCAGCTGTCTTATATAAACACAATTCGAGATGCATATGGAATTTTTAAATTTTCTAGTAGCCGTATCAAAAAAAAGGTCAAAGATTCAATATAATATATTTTATTTAACCCAATGTATCCAAAATGTTCTCATTTAATATGCAATCAACATGCAAATTATTAATGAGATTTTCCTTTTTATTTTTGTATGAAATCTTTAGAATCCAGTGTGTGTTCTACCCTGCCAGCACATCTCAGTTCAGACCAGCCATGCTCCAAGTGCAAGCTTGTCTGTGTGAGGGGCAGGGGCAGGTTGCAGGGAGCCGGGCTACACTGAGCCTCTGTCCCAGGACGACATAGCTCTAGGCCAGGGTGTGGGCCAGCTCCCAGCCCCCTCCCACCCTACAGCCTGCCCCTCCCTCCCATCTCTCTCTGTCTGTCTGTCTGTCTGTCTGTCTGTCTCTCCTTTCCTTCTATGAGGCAGCCTCTGTGTGTGCAGGAGCCTAGGGCAGAGCAGGGCTGGGGGGTCAGCTGCAGCCTGCACTTCGGGCTTGGCTAGCCCAGCATGCATACAGTCTGGAAATGCAGAGGACCTGGCCCTGAACCCCACCCTGTGACCGCTCACAGAAGCAGGCACCAGGCAAATGCCTTTTCCTCCTTCTCCTCCAAGGGACCCCCTTCTTGCTGCCTTTCCAGCTCTTGGAAGACTTTGGGCAGATGGCTGTGTGGGTCCCCAAATACCCAGCATGGGACCTTTTGGCCTGGACAAGCTGTAGAGGTCTGAGGAGACTCACTCTAGACCTGGGCTGTCCAGAGAGTGGCCTCCACTGCACTCTGCGTGCTGTTCTCCCCGAGGCCCCGTGGGCCCCGTGGGTCCGTCCGGGGAGGGGAGGGCAGCCATGGTTCTAGACAGAATGTGCGCCATAAATCTGGTGATTTATGGACAGGTAGGAAGCTGGCAGTTACAGTTCTGCTAATGGAGGAGCTAACCCTATGCACACACACATGCACACACACACACACGCACACGCACGCACACACATGCACACACGTGCATGCACACGTACATGCACACACATGCACAAGCACACACATGCACACGCACACACTCATACACACACATGCACACACACACGGGCACACACACAGAGCTTCATCCAATGGGAAGAAAAATGTTCCCACCACTCTAGGCTGCCTCAGGGGAGAAAAGCAGGCAGGGTGGCCACAACGTCTGGGCAGATAAGGAGGGGCCTTCCATCTAGCCAGTGCGGACACCGGGCCAGCCTTAGGCCCCTTCTGCTCCCAGACAGATGCCTCCTCTTGCCCTGCAAGCCCACAGGGCCCAGCCAGGTGGGGTTGCCCCACTTGGCCCCAGAGCCCTGGCTGCCAGCCAGCCATCCTCAGCTGCCTTCTCCCCTCTCCCTCCTCCTCCTCTGGAAGTCAAGCTTTTCACTGGAAGGAGGGCCAGTCCCCAGAGTCGATGCCGAGACTCCAGGCACCAGGGTTTGAAATCTGGCCAGAGAGAGGGGTACACAGAGCCATTCCAGAACTCTCTCGGGGTCCTATTTTCGGGGACAGAAGCAGGCAGAGCTGCCACTAACGAGGCTGGAGGCCGAGGGATCCAGTGGCTGGCGTCTACGGAGAGGCCCTGTGGACTCTGGGCAGCCACAGGAACTCAGCAGATACCAACCCCAGCTCCAAACAGGACCCTGCACCAGCCACGTGGGCACCACTCTATCCAGCGTGGAGCCGGCACACGCCTGAACTAAACAGTTTTCACATGTGTAGGGAGAGTCGTATGTGTCAGTCCCCTCCCCCCCAAGGATGCAATGACCTCACCTCTGGACACTGAGGGTCCATACTCTCCAGGGACCCAGGCTGTCACCAGGTCCCCAGCGTCTGGGAGGCCCCCAGAGTCTGGCTGGCACCTTGGCAGTGTCTTAAGGAGACTGCCAGTGGGGGTGCCAGGCGGTCTGCTAGCTGCCACCAAAAAGACTGGAGGCCTATGACACCCCCCCCCCAACATCCAGGTGAGCCTGCAGGTGCAGCGCCCAGGCCCTTGGAGCATTTCCAGGGCCCCAAAGACACCTGAAACCTAAGAATGAACCACTGCCTCTGACGTATAAATGCTGCAAATGTGGAAAATTAACGAATGCTTAGTCACATAACCACCAAATGCCATGCGATGTTGTTAGCAGTGATCATCACGTTCAGTGAAGGGTGTGGGTACTTTTTAGTGTGGTCAACACGATTGAGGGGCTTCCACCAGCGAGCATGCCTGGTGCACAGCCCTGTGTCCACACACGCTCAGGCAAGGCTGCCCACAGCTCCCTGCCCTTGGAGGCCGCCTTCATGTGTTTTTTTTTTTTTTTTTTTTTGAGCAGAGGTCTCACTTTGTTGCCAGGCTAGAGTGAGTGCCCTGGCATCAGCCTAGCTCACAGCAACCTCAAACTCCTGGGCTCAAGCGATCCTCCTGC